TTGGCATGGTCTGACATTTTAATGCGTGGAAAACTTCACATCCCTGATGTCACCAAGACACATGGTGAGGGAGATTGTGTATGCAGCAGTGCGACTTCAACTTTGGAATTGAAGACAAGAATTACATTCGTTTCTAAATGGCTGATTATTCTATGAGGTGCATATAATTACTAATAAGTCAAGATAAGCATGGGCCATTTGAGGTATTAAAGACCTCTCATAAAGCCGCGCTTTCTAATGGGTGGCTTCTGCCCTTCAGGCTTTTTATACTCCTTCTCGCCATCCTCAGTCTCAACCACATATCGATCCTTCTCCTTTTCCGCCTTTCTCTTGTCGTGCTCTGTTTTCCATCGCATGAAGTAGCAACAAATTGGAAAGAGTGCAGTGTTGACTGCTGTCCAGGCGAATAGCACGCCAAAGTTTAATCCGATCCTGGAGTGCAAATCGAAGAGCAACTGGCGGCTGCCCTCAACAACCTGATGAAGTGGCCAAGCGTAGCCCCAGTGGTAGAATCCCGGTGATAGATCGATGGCATAGAAGGATGTCGAGACATTCGATATGACCCAGAAGATGAGCCACAGAGCCGTCCATGGCTGCCCAACAATCATTGCCACGTTTTCACAGGCGAGGCCCAAGGCAGACATGCCAACGAAATTAAGCATCCAATAGACGGGGAAGGTGCCGCGGCCATAAGCTGTAGCTCCAAGTGCAGGGGCTGGCTCCGTTGGTGAAGCTGGAGGGGCGCTAAAGGGGATTTGGAAGGCCAGGGATATCAAGCTGTAGCTGAATGAGATGATGAAGTAGGCTACGATTGTGGCTAGCCATCTCCATATGATAAGCTGCCAGAAATGTAAGGGCGGATGACCCTGCGGCTGGACGTATTTCTACGCAGGTTAGCAGGTGTGCATATCCACAGAACGCAAGAATCCTGGCAACTTACTGAGTGAATTGGCAAGAAAAAAGAGAAAGAGAAAAAGGCCATGATGATCAGGTAGATGAGGCCAATGCTCACTGCAGGTGTAGCAGTAGGAGGCTGGAAGGGTCGGAGATCAATCATCAACGGCGCGATGCCAGGGTTAACAGCGGAAGAAGCTCTAGCAAGGTTCTCTCGACTCAAGGACGTGTTAGACATGACAGTCTGGCCCCATTGCTTTCCAAACTGTTGCGTGAATTGCTCCGTAAACTGGGTGATGTAAGGTGAAATATCGCTCTGGTACGTCGTCGAATCTCGCGCGGTTTGTATGATTATCTGCACTGAGCCTGCGGGATCGTAGTTTGCATCCCCAATCGCAACAGCCTCTTGCAGAGCTGCTGTGGCATTGGGGTGAATAATCACGGCCGCCCAACTACCCCAGTCGTACACGGCCATCCTCACTGCTGTAGGATCGTTGTTGAAATGTGAAGGCGATAAGATCGTCCATCCCAGTGATGGGCCTGGCTTGTCTAGTGATTTCTGTGCGGTCTGTACGACTGCCGGTCCAACGATCGGTTGTACTGATTCATACGGAGAAATCTGTCCATCAAAATCGACGACATGGACGATGATTGATCTCAGGTTGTCCTCGGTGCGGAAGAGAACAGCCCAGTACATTGACAAGACTGCAAGGATGAAGAGAAAGAGGATGGTGATCGTCTGAATCCATAGCCGAATGACGTGGGCGCGGACCTTCTTCATTGATGGGTGCCAGAATCCAACAGAGTGGTGAGGCTTCTGGTGACGATGGTGGACGCCGTTTTCCTCATTGTCTTGGCCCTCGTTCTTTGAGTGGTCGACTTCGGTACGGGCCGGTGAGGCCGGCGACGGAGACCTAGGCATTGTTCCTGGGTTGGGCGATTTGACTTCCTTTCTGCAGAGTGAGAAGGATTTCCCCTGATTGACGGTCAAATGGCTGCAGTGGCTTGAAACGCACTCAATCAAAAAATGCCCGAACGACCGCTCCAATACGCCTCTGCCGCTGCCCGTGTCTTGGCTTTATGTACATCCCATCGCATTTGACAATTCCACATCAAATCCGCCAGCGCGCAAGTCGATGATGCGTGGTGGAAACAATTCATTGAGATGGCTAAGTACCTGTTAACAATTTTATTCAGTTTAGTAGACCGTCTAGCCATTCCATTGGTTGAAGTCGTACCTGTCGCGGTGAGGTACATTGAGCTATCGACCTAGCTCCAAGATGACATCAGAGCTCATGGAGTTGCGCTAGAAAGAACACCACCCCTGTCCAAGGTAAGTCTGTAAGATGCGTAAGTAAGCAGGCGTCTCGGCCTTCGTTCTTTTTGATCTAGCGTCGGCTCTTTCATTTGAGCTGAGCGTTTGGAACCCTCAATCTTTGGCTTGGGAATCATGATGCATCTCTCGATTCGGTTACGGAACCTCGATCCCGGCCGTGGGTGAGAGACTGAAGCAATGTCAAGACCAACCAAGGCAGCCTATGGCGGTGAAATCTACTTAGACACCACCCAAGTCCCTATGTCATCAGAGGAAGCAAGTCATATCACGGCGTTCTGGCTTCATGATAAGTGCCTGTCAGGGCCAACCGTGTATTTGAATTAGTGAACTGAGAGACATATATTTCTATTATGCACCGGCAATTTATGAAGCTATCACACCGGTGCGTCTAAGATGGCTTGGCTATTTTCCATCGTAACTTTCCAAACTTTCGCAAATCGTGAAGCTTTCAACTCAGCCATGACCTTTCCCAACTTCCCCTCTCCTTCTAGGCGGCTTTCCGGTGGCTGACCAGCGACGATAAACGAGGATGGTTGTGGGATAGTTGGAGCTTCGCCAGCGGCCACGTCCATCAGAAGACACGCGTTGTGCGGACCTGGGGCCTTGAACTTGAAGAACAAACAGAAGCCGTTTCCAGTTTTTGCGTTCTGAACATGCAGATAAGGGACCTCCTCTTTACCGCTGGTCTCAACGTCGTAAGAGAGCATGATGGAATGGCTCCAGAGGCCACTGCTAGCCCAACGATCCGCCGGGAATGCCTTAACATTGTAGTGCTCATGGTTCTGTTCTTGTGGTAAGTCCACGACGATATGCTGCGCATCGGAATCTTTGCCCCACAGCGATTCCATATCTTCCGGATCTTCAGCCCTGACGAGGATAGTCTCAAGCCTCGCCTGCTTAACCCAATCATCAGGAACTGAGACAAAGCCCAGCTTGTGACTACATCTGTAGAATGGCTCAAGATCGTTTGTTTTCTCCAGATAGAGCCCTATCTGACGACCCGCTTTGTTACAGTTGAGTATAGCTATCGTGCTCGTTGGGGAGAAAGTGAACGAGATTCCTGCAGCGGAACCAATCTGCTCATTGTTATCTCCGGGGATAAATGAGAAGCCATATTTCGAGCTGCTCGGGTCGAGTATCGGCATCTCAATTTGGATGCCTTTATTTGTGAACGAATACGGTGCCACGCGATGGTCGGCGTCAATCCTGGTGACGCCGCTAGACTGAGCAAAACAAGAGGGGGACTTGGCGAGGAACCCAGTGTTGCGAGAAGGTCTGTCTGAATATCCAGGCAATAACCAGGCAAATATTGACTGGTCATCCGTTCGCCTCATGATCTCTTCCTGAAGTCGGATGAATGCCATTTCACCTTCGCCGTATAGTAGAGGCATGCTAACCCCGAATAACCCAAGCAAACAGTACGCCTGATCTTCGACTCTGGTCGTCTTTCTCTTCGCAGCCCAGGACATTCTCTGGGCGATGCTATATCGACCTAAGATTCCATACTCGAAGAACTTGTGGTCGATGCCGGTAATCTTCCCCAGAGGTTCTCGCATCTGGTCTCGTGTACCAATTTCGTACCAGTCATCTGAGTAGAATATGACAGTAGAAGTTGCGACCAGCTCTTGAAGCGTCCAGCCGCGCGTGAACCACCGACTATCCATGAAACTCTTAGAGTAGCCACCGAGAATATCAACGTCTTCCTGAGTGACGTCTTCAAGGTATGCATAACAGACGCGAGAGTTCTGATACCAGACCCACATGGAATTGATGGCCTCCGTCAACTCAGATGAGCTGGTCTTGTCGATACAGCAAGTGTCGATCCACTGCGAAGTCAGTTAATCGAAACTCTGCTGTTGTTACGAGAGCTGAGTGTTAGGGATAGCAGGCTGGAAGGCCCAACTTACTATGTAGTCGAACCCATCTGACAATGCCTGATTACAAGCCCCAATAAGTTTCTTGTAGCCTTTCAGACTAGACGCATTTCCGGCGAGCAGGTCCTGGAGTGTGATTTCCTCCGAACCCCAAGTGTGGGATAGGATAGCATATGGAATGCGAGAGTGGGAGAAAACCCGTAGTTCCTTAGTCCGCGTGTTCAGGAGCCGCATCGTACTTATAAGGTTTGGTTTCAAGCCAATAAGAGTCTCAACTCCGGGCTTTCTGAAGCTGAACAGGACTGGTTGGACGAAATGCGGGGGAATATGCACCTAAATGAAGAACCAGATAAGTTTTCTCAGCCAGGATGGTGAAATCTCACCCGCATAATCTATCACGTGTAACTACTACGATAAGTAGGCTAGCTGTATGCACTTATGCACGCGTTCGGGTTTTTGGTACCATCGGGAGGCGCAACAATGGCCCACTTGAAAGGCACAGATCTGTGCTGGATGGGTCGACTTTAGATTGGACACTCGACCGCTAAACTACCTATGCTGAGAACCTTAGGACATGTAGCGGAATGACGGGTGTCTGTAACCAAGTTGACTCTGTTCAACTTCTGTCCGTCCATCCAGGCGGTGATCTCTCTTTCCAGAAGCTCTTGCTTTGTTCTCATATAAGCAGTAGAATATGCCAAACACCGCCAACAGGACTGTTAGACTTTGTCCGACAAGATTGATCGTATGTCCAGTGAAATACTTCGGGGCGTCTTTGAAAGTGTAGGTCCACCTATTATAAACATCAGCAAAGTACGAGCATGGGCTGACCAAGATCAAAGACTGATGTGCGGTGCCATAGTTGAGCCGTTTGCCAGGTTCTAAGAGAAATCTACTTACGTTGCAACGATTCCACCCATGGTGCCAATGGAGACAACATAGGCACTGGTGACTGCGCGTACGGAAGGGCCTGCCGAGTCTGTTGTCGAATGCGTCAGTTTGTTTTACTTTCTTTGGGTCGACCGAAGGCCAGAAACTTACTGTTCATTGCCCAACTCACTGCAACGATATTAGCAAAAGAATCAGACTACAAGAAGGGTGATGACTCACAAAATCCGGGACCACCTGGAAAAGCACCTGCCGTGACAAAAAATACCTGGGATCATTAGTGAATGTGTGCAGGATGCGGACAAAGGGATAGAGAGCTCTTACGCCCATATATCTAATGTTAGCCTCAGTCGCAAACCGCAAGATAGCAAAACCAATAACAGCAATCATCGAAAACACGGCAAGGTAAATACCGCGCTGACGTGTTCGGTCACTGAACCACGCAATGATAATGGCTGTGATAGCAGCCACAACGTAGGGCGGTACAGAGTATAACTGCGCTCGCGTCGCGGTCCAGCCCAAGTCTGCAAGAATGGTCGGCATGAATACCGAAATTCCCTGGACGGTAATATTGATGAGGAAAAAGCCGAAAGCGCACGTATAGTTGTGGATGCAAAACACGGCTCGCTTCACGTCGGAAAGAGTAACTTTCTGATCAACATCGGCCTTGTGCTGGCGTTGTAGACGCTCTGCCGCAATTTCTCGTTGTCTTTCATCGAGGAAATAAGCGGTAGCGGGACTTGTGGGCATCCAAAGAGGTGCAAACCCTCCGAAGAGAATTGTGACGAATCCCTCGAAGAAGAATATGTTTCGCCATGTGTGGATAGGTGCGCTGTCGAACCCCCATTCCGGAATGCGAGAGAGACCAGTGGCAAGCAGACCGCCGAATGCGCCAGCTAATGACGCTGCTGAAATGAAGATTCCCAGCCGGAACAAGAGTTCTTCTCTCTTGTAGAAGCTGCTCAGAAAGAAGGAGAACCCTGGCATGGCACCACCTTCAAAAATGCCCAGGAAGGCGCGGGCAACAATCAGTCCTTCATATGAGCGTACGAAAGCTGTGCAGAGTGAGACGAGACCGAAGCCAACGACGAGAAATGGCAGGTAGAATCGCGGGCCAACGCGTTTGAGAATAATGTTGCTCGGTACTTCGACGAGAAGGTAGATGATGTAGAATATTGACAGAGCCCAGTTGAATCGGTACCCTTCGAGGTTAACATCTTTGGCCATGCCCTGGATCCTGGCATTTCCAATGTTCGCTCGATCCAAAAACTACTCCGAAGATCGCTTCGTCAGTGGCGACGCGACGGACGGTTGATATACGACGGGAGGAAAAGATCACATACGCAGAGAAGATATAAGGTTGTCACCAGTGGGACAGTGTGCCAGTCGAGCTTACGCTTGATGATCTGTTCTTCCTCTTCCGTCCACTCCAACTGTACCGGTTCGTCCGCATACTGGATAGCCTCGGACTTGACTTCGACCGTCGTCGATTCGTTATACTCTGTTTTAGACATTGTCAATTGTCAAGACTTAGCCCGTCGCGAACATTGAAAAAATGCTCCAGTGCCAGTAGACGCAGAGAGTGGTAGGGAGGGAAGCTTACGTTTCTTATCAAAGTCGATTGGTATCTCGTCTATTGTGGAGAGCACCATCTTGACAGCTGGCCGAGACGATGCTCGGAATCCTTTGAATGCAGACCTTCCGAAAATACTACGTTGATGGCTGGGAAATTTGCCAAGCAGCTTGTGGATGCGACGTTGAAAACGGCCAAGCCCATTTAGTGTAGTTTCAATGAGGGGTCAAGGTAGTGACCGGCCCCTATTATTATCTATCCAAAGCCACTAAGGAGCGGGAAGCAAGTTTGAATAGCTGGCACGGACAGTTTATCACCATCAGACTTTCTTCGGCAGATGTCTCTTGCATTAAAGCCCAGCCCTGTCCGGGGTGCCCTCCGTCCAATGACCCAGACCCAGGTGCCCGTCGAGGATGGCATGTTCGGCTTAAGAATGCGGGGTACGGGAGGAAGAACACTTGGATTTCTTGGGATTTTGGTCTTCTTCACAGTTCGACTCAGATTGAGTCGCATTGAAGGGGGCGGCTATGGAACTGAGGGTTGGCAACTCGCTGGGGTTTGTGCTGAACATGGTTTGGAGACTGCCACACCCGTCTAGCGGGTCCGCTTTTGCAACCTTGGGTCTAACTTCAGTCGGCCATCTGAAATCCGAGGCAAAAGGCCTTTCCCCACGTCGCAAGCCGGAAATGAAATCTGGTTACCTTTTGCGAATTGGTGTGTTCCTTGTTACAGTCAATGTTTTCACCGAATGCTTGGGACAGCTGCTTTTCATCTGGACTCTTCGGAACCGAGTTGCTGACAACGGGTTTCACTACTTTGACGTCAAGGCTGTTCCAGGATGACAGAGCACAATGATGGAGTCAAGTCATTTAAGCATGCTGTGTAACTGCAGGCGCTCCTACTAGGTGTGCAAAAACAAGGGCCAGAATTCCGAGAAGAGTGATTACGAGTACAACCTAGATCATGATTGTCAGCATGTCCACGCCGCACTGATGCAGCTCCGATGCCACCTTCAACTCTAACTACCATAGCGAATCAGAACCAAAGACCCCCAGGACCACCAATGATTTCGTGCAGGCGGTGGGTACCATGGCGTTCATGTGCTCTCACACTTGTTTGTTGCCAAGGCGAACGAGAACTGCTCTGGGTGTTGGGATGGGGTCGTCAGATGTTCCCGCACGGCCAATAGTGCTCCGCGAGGGATGCTTCGAGTGAAACACGCACCGAGAGAGTCAATCGTGTCATCGGTTCCATTATCGGATACAGCTACCATCATTTGCATCTAAGCGTAAGTTCAGCGAAGGGTCCTGAATATGACCCATGGGTTTTTTGGTCGCGTAAGAGATTATGCCATAATCCGCCTCGGTATGCTATGACATGACATGTCTTTACTACGAAAACTGGGTGTCCTAAACCTATTATATCGAGAGCTCCGCAGTCACCGAGGTATCCATGTGTGGCATGTCTTAACTCACGGTTGCATGCCATGTTACAAAGACGACCTACTATCTAATCAAATCGCGACGCTCTTACAAAGCCCGAAGAAATCCCCTTTTCCGTCTCGGTGGCTCAACTCCCGGTTGCTTGGGAATTTGCTTCTCGAAATCATATCTGTGCAAGTGAAAGTGTGGAAGTTTTGTCTCCTTGCGACGAATCTCTTTTTCATCTTTCCACCTCAAGATGTAACATGCGGGGATGAACAAGATAGTGTTAACCGACACCCAAGCAATCAAAACGCCAAAGTTGAGGCCAATGCGCGAGTGCAAGTCGAACAAGATTTGTCGGCTGCCTTCGATCACATGATGATAGGGCCATGCGTACGCCCACCGGTAGAATCCTGGTGCGACATCGGGAGGCCAGAATCCGGTCAAGGTGTTCGTGAGAGTCCAAAACGTTAGCCACAAACCAACCCATCGAGGGCCGATTATCATGGCCATATTTTCACAGGCCATTCCAAGTGCTGCCATGCCGAAGAAGTTCAACAGCCAGAAGACGATGAACGAGGCTTTCCCGTAGGCGTTTGGATTCCTAGCAACCTCTACTGCCGAAGCTGGCGGATTGGACAAAGGGACTTGGAAGACGAGCGAGATCAAACAGTAGACCAGCGACAAGAAGAAATACGCTGCCATGAGTGATATATATCTGCGTATGACGTAGTGCCAATAGTGCACGGGAGGATGACCCTCAGGTACGATGCATTTCTACATATCAATATCGTTTGTCAGCTATGTAACAAAGCATCAGAAGCTCGGACTTACCATGTCATCTGCGAGGTAGTAGGTGAAACCAAGATGGGCAATGAGAAAGCTTAGCCCAAAGGTAACTGCCGGAATTGCCGCAGGCGGCCCAAACGGCCGGAGATCTAGCATCAAAGGTGACACCCCGGGATTGACGGCACTCGCGGCTTGCCGCAGAGTCTCTTTTGTCAGGGAGTCATTGGCCATTACCATGCCGCCCCATTTCTTGCCAAATATTTCTGTCAAACTTGACGTGAAGGACGTGAGGCTTGGCAAGATGTAGCTATACGTCATAAATGAATCTCGGCCAGACATGGTGATAATTTGGACTGCGCCTGTTGGATCGTATGAAGAGTTTCCGATCGAGACTGCCTCTTGAAGCAAAGCTGTTGCGTTTGGATTTATGATGATTGCTGACCAGGCTTTGAAGTGAAAGACCGCTTCGCGAACCTTCATTGGGTCGAACCCGAACTCGTTTGCGTCGCGTATTTGATATCCGATTGATGGTATGGGGCTCCACAGCGTCTCGTTCGCCAACTCTGTGACCGTTGGACCTACTAGCGGCGTGATGTCGTCGTAGGGAGCAGATTTACCATCAAAGTCGACAACAAAACAAACGAGAGAGGTGAGGTTTTCTTCAATGCGAAACACGATGCCCCAATAAAGGCAGAGAATGAGGAACATAGAGAAACAAATGATGAAAGCTGAAGATGGTAAGCTGTGGATACAAATCAGCACGTAGAGCTCCGATGAGACTTACTGTTTCTGCACCACATCATGGAAATATGCTTTCGTAACTATGCAAGAGCAAGATCAATTTCATTAGGCACTGGCAAGGCTTTTGAGGCTGAGCTTATGTTGAGCTGCACTTACTGTTGCCAACCCTGGGTCCCACCAGCTGACTGATTGCGATGGAAGGTTTTCATGCTCAGGTAAGCGACTTTTCATCCAATTCCCGACAAGGTCTGCCCTTTGAGTATCGAGGCTATTCAGCACGCTATTTGACTGGTCGTCTCGGGAGGCTTGTGCTGCGGCACCGGGTTCTCGGTGACCGCCGTTGTCGACATCGGTATCTATGTGCGGCATTTCGAACGTTGCGCAGTTATGGTAGTATGTAAATGAGTAAATAACTCTGGCTGATTTTTCGAAACTTTGAACGCAGTTGCTGAACTGTATATTTTGTAGTTTTGAGCCAAATCGCCTTCCGCCGCAAAACCTCCGGCAATGTCTTTGTTGTGAACTGTGATTGACATAGTTACCCACAGTTATGTGACCTCAACAGCATAAATGGTGGAGATAAATAGCGGAAATCTTAGTCCGGATGGATAACAATTCGTCATTTAAGTGTTCTGATACATGTGTCCCTTGAGTCGATGTGGGCTTTGTTCGGTCGGCCAGTACATGTAGTCTATACAGCGGGTCATTTGGAAGATCTTCCTCTCAGCTGAAGTCCAGGCACAGTTCAATAATCGATTCTCGATCAGGAGCCAACTCGCCTTCTCAACTAGCGTATCAATCTTGACAGTCTCTGCAGGCCATCGGACCTTTCCAGCCGGACAGATCAGACGCTCCAATTTTACATGCAGGACATGGAGTCACTGTTGATGCGGGCAGCCTCCTTGGTTCATACCTTGGTCACTGAGCATTAGCTTGTCCTTCCCATATTTGTAAAGCGGGTTCATGACCAGTCTTGTTCCCCTGCGTTAACGCAAGCACCTTGACGTCAGAAGGACGTCAACTAAGCGAAGTGGAGCAAAAAGCCTTCAAGAAGTCTTCTCGGTAACTCTGGTCTTTTTAGGGATCCTCCCAACGCGCCCAGTAGGTCTGATTGTGGCAACTAGTCGGAGGAGTTCTTCCGTGACTTTTCGTGTTATACGGTCTTGAGGTTTTGAGATGTTTTGATAAGTTGTGAGGCAGATCGACTCCATCGTGGGCACTTCAATTTTGGAGTGGGGCTTGCTAAGATGCCAATGAGGAAGTGGTGATAGATGAGGACGCCCTCGCACCACAATAGTTGAGGTACTCTTCATTCCCAATAAGGCGAAATATGTCCATCATACCGTCATCTACCTTACCCAAGTGGCTCAGTCGAGTCATTGACTTCCGTCTTTCACAACCACAACTTACACGCTCAGCAGAATAGGCTAGATTGTATCTGACCTGACTTGAGTAGACCTTGAGCTTTGTCCAAGTATATTTCCCATCAAAGAGGTTTCTCCATGTCCTGTTGTCAGCTTCCTAATTAAACAGGTACTATTTCATAATATGTGCTGTGCCGTGTTTCGACCTTTGGATGATTATTCTGTGGACTGAGGAGGTCATGACATAAACTCTTACCGTTCCACGTTGAAAACGAATGTGGAGGAAACATTACGATACTGGATTTATACGGTCAAGTAGATGAAAAATCATTGCGGGCCATCCAAATCGTCTCTACTCTTACAAGGCAACAACGGTAACATTACATAACAAGCGGCGGCTAGAACCCAAGTAAGATCTTTCGCCAGTTGATTTTCTTCTTTCCATTCTCAGTGGCTGTTGTTCCGTAACCCTCCTCTTGCACATCATGCTGCCCAACAATGGAAAGAAAGACGTCGTTGAGCGTGGTTGGACTGACACTGTGATGCTCGATGCCTAAGACATCCTTGTTTTCCTCGAACATCACGATAAGTTGACCAATTGCACTCAACTGGCAGCTCTCCCCACCTTGCAGCCTCGTTCTGCTCTGGTGGCTCAGCTGAGATCTTTGTAGCACATCTGATGCCGCGACTGAGAACCGCAATTGGCCGTGAAATGTTTCAGACTCCACTTGTGCGGAAGGAAATTGCTGTAGAATCCAGCTTCGCATGCGATCCATTTCTCCTGATTTCGAGTGTGGAGCAGTGCGACTGACCAGATGAACGTACAGGGAGTCTCCGAAGCGGCTTTGAAGCTGCTCAACTTCACCGATGGCTAACATGCGTTGTGCAATGATGCCGGCTCGATTAGCGAGGGCATCGGCCTCTTCCATGCTGTGGGTTGTCAAAAGTATAGAACGACCTGGCACAATTGTGCTGAGTGTTCGCCACATGATGCGCTTCGCAGCAGCATCGAGGCCCGAAGATGGCTCGTCAAGCAATATCACTGACGGATTCCCTGTGAGGGCGATGCCAAGGGAGAGTTTACGCTTGTTGCCCCCTGATAAGTGTTGCGCCATGACGTTGACATGGGCATCGAGGCCGACGGTACGCACAACTGCTTGAACTTGCTGCTCAACATCGCCAACTCCACGCAGCCTCGCGTAGTGGCGGAGATGTTCAAGCACACTCATGGACTCAACCGCGTCAAATTGTGGACATACTCCGAGGTTTGTCCTGGCTCGTGCTCTCTGGTCGGTGACGGAAACTTGCTCGACGAAAACGTCGCCGCCGTTGCGGCTGGGCTGGATATCACCCCGAATGAGTGAGATGGTTGTTGATTTCCCGGCACCGTTGGGACCGAGAAGCGCGAACACCTCTCCGTGGCGAACACCGAATGAGACATTGTCAACAGCAGTGAAGCTACCGAACTTCTTCGTCAGATGTTTGACCTGAAGCCCGTCGCTGTTCGTAGTCGACTCGACCCGTAATAGCTCGCTGGCGATCTCTGGGTCTTCGTGTGCTTGTTCAGCTCCGGCGTTGGAGTTCCCGCTGCGCTTGGAGATCGCAGGTAGCTTGTTCCCGCTGTCGTGGTAGAGAAGAATGCCAAATAGCAGAATCGCCTGCAAGACGAGGTAGAGGATTGGACCTCCATATGCATTGATGGCGCCTGGATATCCAAGACCGGTAGCGGAACATGCCAATGAGAAGGTATTGAGACCAACGAGAAGGGCTCGGAAGACGGATGTGACGGGAAAGAAGGCCGAGATAGTGTAATGCCCTATCAGAATATTGCGATCTGTGACAATGGACGGCGAAAAGGTGACGATGAAGAGAAAGGCGATCAGATAGATCGCAAAACCAACACTATTGTAGGCCATTATTGCAGCAAAAGTCGCAACTTGGCTATTGGTGAAGAGCGAAATGACATAAGACAGTAGAATCGAGGTGATGCCGTACAACAAGAACACTGGGAACAGGTAGCCCGGAGCGTACCAGATGTCCGAGGAGACCACAAATATGATAGCTGCGATCAGGAGAGGGAGGAAGAAGACTCCGAAGTCGAAGATGAGGTGCGACGTCCATGTAGATAGCGACCGCACTCCACTGGAGTATTGCAAGCCACGAGCATGGCTGTGTTTCTCAGCGTTGGGATACAATCCAAAGAACGACGGAATAATCGAGCAGACGATGCTGAAAAAGATGGCCAACTGAATTGTGGATGACGTCGAAGAGGGGATGACGCTGTCAAATGGGGTGTATGTGGTCGCAATGCTGATATTCGTTTTCACGATACTGAGTAGGTTGTGCATGATGACCGCTGCGAGGACTGCCCCTGCTCCCTCATTGTCTGCTCGGTAGGCAACTGTTGAGGGTGTATCTGGGCTGCCAACCCAAAATCCACCAGGAGTGACATTCTTGCGATTGCCTTCCACGTATCGCATAAGGTCGGCGTAGGTAGCACTTTGCACAAGTTCGGTGTTGATGGAGCTATTGGGTCCCGGAAGCAAGAAGCCAAAAAGGTCGCCAAATGAGGAGCTAGAGAAGGAGGAAGAAGGACCAGCAGCAATAAGAGCTCGGTCGAAAGCCGTCCTGTAGTCATCGAAGCCTTCCGCAGAAGCTTGACTAATGTCTACGACGTCGCAGCTAGCAGGGCTTTCGTCGGCGACAAGAAGCTGCATAATTGCCGCTGCAACGATCGGAACAAGAAATTCGATGGCGTATGGAATCCAGTTGGTCTTGAGTAACGTGAAGCGTTTACGAATCAGAGTAGGGATTTGCTCAAAAATACCCGTCTGACGGCCAGACTGAAGCCCCAACAAGTCTTGTCCCCCATTCACAACAGACTTTTCTGCGAGACCTTTGCCAGAGTCCACTGACCCATGGCCTCTCGCCTGATTAAGCGGCTGAAGACCCTCCCGTTGCACCTCATCGGCCACATTGAGGAACACATCTTCAATATTTGGACTGGAGATGCGGTAGGAAATGCTTTGAGTCTCAAGGTGACGGATTACATCGGCGGCGATTCTCGATGAGGGAGCAGTGTAGATGATGGTATTTGACGACACAGCTAATGTGGCGCCATGAATCTCTGGAGGAGCTCTCAAATCCTTTGCATTGAGGACGTGAATACGGTAGCCGTCTCCGAGAGCGTTCTTCAGGGCTACAGACGAGCCTTCGGCTTTCAGGCTGCCCTTGGATAGTATCGCAATATTATCGGCAAGTAAGTCGGCTTCGTCGAGGAAATGCGTCGTCAGAATGATGGTCCTCTTGCCACGTTCCGAAAGAAGGATGTCCCAGATCTTCCGCCTTGAGAGCGCGTCAATGCCAGAAGACACTTCATCAACGCAGCAGACGGCACTTCCACCAGTTAACATCATGCCAAGCTGGAGTTTGCGCTTTTGCCCGCCAGACAGATGTCGTGATTGGGATTTACGCTTTGTCGATAGGCCAATCGAGTCGATCAAGTGTTTGGAGTCCTCCTTGCTCGCAAGGTTCCACGGAGACTTGAGCTGATTAAAGATCGTGATGTGTTCGGCAACGGTGAGCTCATCCCAAAGAACGTTCTTCTGTGGCGCGATACCAATTCCACCAGAGGCATCTATAAAGACACCGCCATGGTTGAACCGGCTAATCCCAGCGATGGCATCGAGGGTCGTGCTCTTTCCACTTCCATTGGCACCGAGAAGTGCTAGGATCTGACCCCTCTTTGCTGTCAGATTAAGACGATCAACAGCCACTGTAGGAGCGTGAGGCTTAGATATGAAGGAGAACAGCCGTCGAAAAAGACTTGGGTGATAAACCTTGGTTAAGCCGTTGATGACTACAGCTTCTCGTGGCTGGACACCATCACCCTTGTAGATTTTACGACTCTCGGAGCCGACTCCATGAATCTGACGTTCGACATAGGCGGCAAGTAGCGGGTAGATAATGAACTGCAGGATCAGGAAGATCCAGATCACAATGCCTGGAAGAGTAGAATTGCTTCCTGGTGACGTCTTGAGAAGATTCATCGGTTGTCCCTCGCCCTCAAATCGCGCCATGGATCTAATAAAGAAGACGAAGGCGCATGGGGTAAATAGCAGGCTCAAAACAGCGACGGCGCCAGTGCTTGGGTTGGGGAGTGCCTGTGCCAAAACACCAAGAAGGACATAGACTAGAGAGTTGATGACACCGGAAAGCTGAGCCTTCTTGAAGAAAGTCGCGCCGAGGATGGCTTGCGAAGTAAGAGCCAGGCCACCCAAGATGAAGAAGACTAGAACAATGCCGATGCTAGTCTCTCTCCATATCATGCTCCTCGCTATGACCGATGCGACGACCCAGCCTGGGAAGTAGATTGTGACAAAAGAGTAGAAATTTGACAACATGCGGATGACTTGGGCCTCCCAGTCATGACGAGTGGACATCATTGAGTCGATGAGTTGGGAGAGCCCCTTCTCTCGCTCAGTTGCGACGTGACCGGGCAGATGGTAGCTAACTCCAATTAGCGCCAGGATGAAGGAGACTGCCAGATAATCGATGAATGTCTTTTGGTATTTCCTTCGGACGCCGGCTTGTCGTTCGTCTTCGGTCTCGTCGGTGAACCCCCACTCCTGGGCATTCTCGAGAGACGCTGAACTACCATTCGTCGAGTTAAGACTGGCAATGGCAGAGTCGATGGCATGTTGAAGAGGGAGCGTGTACACTTGAATATCACTGTCGTCGTTGTTGACCCTAAATGATGACCCAAAGGCTCCATCTCCGCGCAAAGTGTAATTCCAAAGGCCTCCATCACCCTCGGTGGGGGAAGCATGGAAAACGACGGCACCGTAGCAGGTAGTAGTCGCACGGAACGATGAGCGGCAAATGGAGCCAAGATCGGAAGGATTTGTGATCGTTGTTGAATTCTTCCCGGCTGCAGAAACTTGAGCAGAGATTGCCGCTGTCGTCCGGTCTATATCACCGCCTGATAGCCCGCTGTTGACAAGAACGACAGTATCACGAGAGTCATCAGAAGCGGCCAGGCCTTCCGCTAGTGATCTTATAGGTCGAGGGTCTGCAAATCCAAACTCGTTCGATGGGCTGCTGAGATTCTTGCCAATGCCGAGGTATACTGTGAGTATGACAGGGAGAAGGATCGCGGTGTAGATAGTTGAGACGGGGTGGCGGGCGAGAAGTATGATGAAGTTTTTAGTTGAGAGCACACCGACTTGGCGCAACAATGCGGACTTTGGTGCCGCCATGGTAGTAAAAAGAGGCCAATCGGCGTCAGATTGCCGACGATGCGGTGATGTAAGGGGAAGTATAGTCCTCGGAGTTGGTGACGTGGTTTTTTGCGATAATCATGGAAGAAAGTTATTGACAAAATATTTGGAAAAGAAGAAGAGGGTATCGTTGGATATGTCAGACGAATGCCCAGAAGAATCACTGGCATCTCAGAAGATATTTGAAGGGCCAAAGAGATCGATCCAAGAGACAGGAGTCAGGGACGACTTTATGCCAAGAGCGGCACCTCCATATTAGCATGTCCATGGGGCTAAGCGACACAGACATATCTGCCCAACGGCCATGTTGGTAAGCGAGAACGCCTTCTTCACATTTGCTCTTTTGGGACATACAAGAGGCTTCGTATGGCAAGATAGCTGCACGCGTCACAAGCTAAAGCGGGAGACTGGTGCAGGAAGGGCATGCTATGAGAAAACCTCAGCAGGGGCCAGATGAGGCAGAAATGCCCTGAAATCGTGGCAGACAGGTTTCATTGGACAGGTTTCGATGTGGTGATGGATGGCAGATGATTCCACGTGCGTCTTCGCGTCTGCGCTGAGCCTGCCCTGCAGGCCCTGCTGTGAATTGCTAGACTTTGTCTGAATGAACTTCTAATTGCCTAATATGGTTAGCATATGACTGTCAGATCCATCAGCCACCGCTGCCGCCAATGACGGCATTAGTTCCAAGCCCTGGAGAGGCACAGTTCCTGGATGCCTGGGATTATTGGGGTCTTCGTGCGACCTCTAATAGCCCTTTTGGGAATCGCTCAGCTTTCCATACCGCCCGATTTGTATGTCTTACAACGGGTACCTATTTGACTCGCCCAAAGCTCGCCGATTGCACGAGTGCAATTGATGCAACATTGTTTGAACCTCTGTATCGATTGGCCTTCCCAATTACAGCAGCACACGGTGGCTGGCATTGCCAGTAGTCAAGCTCGTCGAATGGTCGCAACAAAGTTAACCACAACATTGCCTAATTGGCGCTGAGCAGGATGACATAGCGGTTTCGCGATTGGCTTATGCATATCAGAATCAAGCAGTATTTCTTCCGCACCGCACAATACATCTCCCTATGAGGCCGAAGTCTTCAGGCCATCGCTCCCGTTCGATTTTAAGAGGTGGAAAAGTGGGAGAGAAGCTAGTGTTGCCCAAGTTAGCTAAATACTTACTCGACTTGATATTGTTAACATTGAAAGTGCGTGTCTGATGGCTCAACTAGTACAAGGCCCGTGAACATCAGTGTCTGAGGTTATGTCGCTTCACAGTATTTTCCCCATTCATGACCAACATAACCGCCCCCATGCCATGATCCCAGCATCCACGACCCCATCTCAGATGTGGGTATAGTTCCATACGGTCCTCTGGCGCAACGGTAGCGCGTTCGACTCCAGTTCCGGAATCCATCGAAAGGTTATCTGTTCAAATCAGGTGGGGATCACTACATGCATACGCTGAGCGTATGCTTTTTGTCTTAATGTGTTATTAGTTATTTACCAACACCTATGAAGAAGAAGAAGTCACGGCAGCATAGAACGATAGCAAGCCCCCATCAGCTTGCAAGTAATAGCAAGACTCCAGAGTGAGTATACTGGAGTCTTAACCAAGTGGAGTTGATCCTTTAATGCTTGCTGTGGATCAACTAGGGCTGTGGCTTGTCTACCCTTGGCCGATGTCACTGACCGAGATTGACCGAGACTCACCGAGAATTTGCGAAGGCTCCCATCGTCACTGACTTAAAGCAACCACCTGTCACTCACGAAACGCGATCCCACAATCAATTGCATCGTCCCAGAAACCTAAGCATCTGGTAATGATAATGATAATAATCACATGAAGTCAGTTGGTTAGCTCATTCCCTCTTCCCTCCGCTGCCCCTCAGGGCCTCATGCTGTGACTAGTGACCCCCAATAGAGGTTACAAGCATCTAGCTGTCAATTGGATTCTTGTTCAAATCCAACCGCTTTCAGCTCAATCATTCTCTGTATCTGTCCAAAAATCAATCTGGCCAGAAGACTTCGCCGTTCAATATTCCTCGCCTCTCACTACATCTGTGGCCGGATGTCTCCTAGAACCGAACCGAGCAGACGGAGTAATCCCGCCCTTGACGGCCAAGATTATGGTCCGAGCTTTCGGTGCTGGCCCGTAACCCCGCGTCTCGAACGTCGGAGCATGGCTGGGGACGCCGACAGGCACCCGAGTACATCCTGAGCTTGTCTTATATGTAATCGGGCATGAGAAGAACTTTGGATTGACAAGATTTAATCGGTGAATCTCCTGGGCCTGAGCCGTTCAACTACTAGTGCTAAGCACAACACCACAATGTCCCCTCGCGCTCTGGAAGCTCTTCGCAAGTTCACCTCCTGTGACGTAAGTGTATCTCTGGCGAATGTCATCGATCGGCCGGCTTCGGCCATCGAATCTTATCAACATTGTCTCAAAGTAGTCAATAACATTTGGGCCAGATTGGGGATGCTCTTGTTAAGCTCAAATACCCCCAAGGCGGCTTTCTAGATGGGATCCGCATGTTCTCGCCGGGCGCGTCAGGACGCGTCTTCGGCCCCGCAGTGACCGTCGAGATGGTGGAGATGAGCAATACCGCGGCGCCCAAGCTAGACAAGCACTTCGTCGACCACAATCAGGAGGGCGGCATTATGTACGTCCAGCAACCCAAGGGCTTGCCTTCGGCATGCTGGGGTGGGCTGATGTCGACAAGGGCAAAGTATCTCGGGGCGGAGGCTGTGGTTATTGATGGTCGCATGCGAGACGTTGGAGAACACAACGAGATGGGATTCCCCGTGAGTTTCCTCTCTCTGACAGTAAAGAAGCGGATGAGAAACCTAACAACTTCGGTTAGGTGTTTGCGCAAGGCGCTTCGATTCTCGGATCCAACACTTTCACACGGGCTTCAAGAGTCAATGTGCCGCTTCAATTTAAGGGAGACCTTTGGATCAACCCTGGCGACATTCTGGTTGGCGATGCCGACGGCGTCGTGGTCACTCCTGTTTCTCTGGTCGAGAAGGTGGTAGCTCTTTGCCAGGAAAGGGCCGAAGTTGATGAAAAGATGTTTGTCGAACTGAAGAAGGGGGCTTCCATGGGAGACCTCCTCAAAAACGTGAGGAAAGACAAATGACTGTTGTAAGATGGGTTATCTTTGGCGACTTGCAGTGCAGCCAAAGGTTTCTCACGCATTATATAATGTTTCATTACCAATGGAAAAGCTTGGTCGCTGGCCCTTTCTAATGCGTTTGACTTTCACGACATCTTGCTATTTCTTGAGTTCTGGCTCTAGCGCGGCCATTCTCATCATAATCTTCACCGTCCAAAGATATGGCTTGGATTCTGAACCATGAGCAGATCCCACTCCTCATCTGAGAGCCAAGACCTCAGGCTCTTGAGCCATGCCGCATCATCTACCTCAAGATACGGCGTCTCCCTCATGGCAGCCTCGTGTGTCCGGACCTTCATTCGCGGCGTATGCGGCCAATCGCTGCCCCACAGCACCCGGTGCTTGTTCGCATCGACAAATGCGCGCACTAGAAACTCCACATCTGAGTATTCTGGGCTCTGGTCGCTGATGCGATACGGTGCGCTCAGCTTTACCCACAGATGGCCGTCCCTTACTAGTCTCATCACGGCGTCAAAGCCTGGCTGGGTCGTCGGGTCCTCGCGATGATCACTGGGCAGTAGACTTGTCGCCTTCAGCAACGCAAAGTGATCTGTAATCAACATGACGCCTTGCGAGACTATGACGTCTCGGACGAAGGGCTCCAGCGTGGTCCAGAACTCGGTGCGGGTCGTCGTCATCGTTAAGCTCCAGGGGAGCGATAGATCTGTAATCCTGTTCAGATGCGCACGCAGAGCAACTTTCTGCAACTCGACATCTTCCATAGCTTTGTACTGATACAGGTTCACGCGAAGACCGCGGACACCTGCTCTGTGCATCGCAAGTAACTCCTCGTCTGTCGTCGTTTCAGGATCGATAACGCCAACGGCCCGAGTCTTCTGGCTACCGAGCCGAGGGACGAACGCCTTGAGAGATGTGCAGTCATTCCCGTAGGACAATCCATGAGCGAGTACAGATCTCGTGATGCCTAAGCTTCTTTTAAATTGTTCAAACGCGGCAATCGTCGCGGGCGGCGGAGTGAGATGCCTGTTTGGGCTGTAAGGGAAAGATTCGGCTGAATGACGAAAGTGCTTCAGTTAGCGGATTTTTCGTTGATGATCAGGCCCCAGAAGAGACTTTTCCGCATGAGAAGTAGACCTACGTTCGAAGATATGGTGATGAGTATCCCATCCACCGCGCGGGAGCATAACGGGTTGTCTCTCCTCAATCGATGTAGCAGAAGGAGGCATCGCGGAGGAATCAGCAGATACGAGAACGTTTGTAAGTACTAGTGAGCGGTAATGCACTCGTGGCTTTAATCGGCGTAGAGGGCTCTCCAAGCCAACGACGCCATCATTGATATAATATTCATCTTCACTCGGGTTCCCCCAAGCGCTGGTAACAAGAGCACGGAGACGATGGTTTATGCCAGCACTACGTAAGGTAGAGAGAGCAGACACACACACACGCATCTTCTACACGTTCACGCGACAAAATCATCAATTGCCTACAGGTGAATAATCGAGACAGTGACTGCCAAGGAGCTATCCGTCTGAGAAGGATCCGGCTGGCGGATTGCTCCGTCAGTATCGGTACAGGAAACGACTACTCCGTACGGGTGGTAGGTAATAAGACAAACCTGATCCACAGGAGACTGGTCAGAGCGTCTCCGTGGAACGCGTGGAAACCGTGGACTCCACGCGATGCGTGGAATGCTCCCCATTCCCCTCCCTTGCCTTGCCTGTCTGACGCTACGGTCTGGGGGTTGGAACCTAAGCTTTGGACTTTGCGTGTCAATTCATCCGCTCTAACGTATGTTAAAATAGCCACAAGGGGTGGCCTGTAAAGAGCAAATTGGGGCTAATCCGAGCTGTACCTAAACTCTACATTGAGCTTCAGCGGTCAACGGATAACCTACGGTAGTACGGATAACGAAAAAGAGATACGGTGGTAGGCCTGTATTCCTAATTCAACCAATAATCCACATGCTAGTTAGTAAAATGTCCAGCGAAAGGCTTGCTAGTTTATTCATCATGGCTACAAGAAGACGACCACTGGTGCTGCCTTGACTTACGCCTAGGCCTCTTTGAGTCGACACGGAGCCGCATAATTACATCTCCGGCCCCTTTTCATTCGAAAAATATACCCGGCGCAGCCGCCACCGGCCCTGTGTACCTGCTTAATATCTATGGTCAAAGACGTAATATGTCAAGCTCACTTACATCCGGCGGAGCACTCATTCCCGTCACCACGAGTCAGATAAAGTCATCCTCCCGCATGCCAAACAAAGCCAAGCGAGGGTCCGACCGAGTACGTCGAAATCCCGTAATAAACAATGCAGCTTTTGAGTTCATCCCACTTCCCGCTGGGAATTTTCGTCTCAGCCGTACTTGGAGTAAAATCGAGCGACCCTGTGATGCTATGGCCTACTTATACGCCCATCGCCAGTGCGTTCTGCGTCTCAAATGTATCGAGCTCGAGTCGGGAGGCGATTCATCAAGTGCGATTCCGCGAGGACAACAACTGCCGAGGGGGTTCCTAGGTGAGGAATCTCATCAAGGATGACGAAATGATCGCAGAGCTCACTACCGGAGGTTGCGGAGGGCAGCATGGCAGCGAAGTGACAAGTCCCTGCAGGAAGCTACAACATCAAAACAACAGAAGTCTACCTAGAATACTAGGGCCTGTAGTGCGATGACGGTAGATTCAATCGTACGAGTAGGCGATCGAAAGGTGTAGTGCACGGAGGGTGTACGGCCCGCGTGCTCCCCGATGCCCCGAAGCACATTTTTAAGACGCTGATTTGCTCCACCATCTGCCGTGCCCTATCGAACGTTATCCGGCAGAATAGTTCAAACTGTAAACAAGGCATAGGCTATCTTGGGATAGGGTGGTAGAGTCTATTCATGCTTGAATAATTGTTGGTAACTCCAGCCTCCAGGCCACATCGGGTCCATGGACCATAAACTATCAGATCTCCGACTCCCAGGGAATCCACTCGTCATTTGGAACATGCAGTAGCGAGACCATAGCTGCGAAACCTTCTGTTAACGGAAGAACAATTCTTCGTAAGGCTTCGACGAGAATACCGCCGGCGGGTTGACAAGGTTCATCTTGTCAGGCAGAACATATTGCGAATGCTCTTGGCGAACGAGTGACAGCGTCCAGACTCCAGTGTCCGCCGGCCCTGATTAGACTTAGCAAAGTGTCCGATGCAAAAGTATGGAGTACATGTACGCTTACCGATCCAGGTTTGCAAATTGGGCACTAAACCAGCTTCTCCACATACTACCGAGGTCTTCCAAGGAAACCTAGGCGCTGTACCGCTCGCTTAGGTCTTTCCCGAGTGTACCAAGTGCAGTGCCCAAAGGTATCCATTGCAAAGGTAAGCTATTGTTGCTCCCTAATATGCTCCTCTGTACATGGTCTTAATGAAGGCTCAAATAGTAGCTGAAACTCCTTGTAGCTCTTTTGAGAGCCCTGGTATGATTCTATGTGATTCTCCCCCGGTATGCCTGATGTATGTTTCCCGCGGATTCTATGTGTCTATCCCGAAAAAGTAGCCCAAGCCACATCCCGTCAGGGGTTGGGTGAAAGGGCGGAAAGTGACGTGACAAGCCCCCTTAGAAACACTCCTCCCGGGATCCAGTAAATGTACTTGGTACCTAACGTAAGTGCTAGCTTGTTTAGTAGCTACGTGCCTTGCCATTGTCGGGAGCTGCCCGGGGCTATGCCTTTATTCCATTCATTTCCTCGTCAATTCCTTCCAGGTCGCTTACCTTCACACCGCGGGACATAACCTTCCAAGAACGTGAGAAATCGACAACTTCATATTCAGAGATGGCTACACGGGCAAACCCGCCCAAGAAGGTCCGGCTCGCCTGTCGTCGTTGTCGCACAAGGCGAATAAAGGTGAGACTCTCTCATAATCCCCGACTTGCCTTGTGGCTCCAGTCAGCTCAAATCCCGCGCTGGGGTTTGGTCTTACTAGCCTGGACAATGACTGGGACCATCGCCGCGTTACTCCGGCTCAAATTGTTCGGGTTGCTCATTCTCAACTTTTCAGTGCGACGGAGAAGTCCCTGCCTGCACGAATTGCGCAAAAGCCGGCGAAACTTGCCTAGATGTTGATAGTCAGAACTCGCGCTTGTTGGTTCCTCGCAAGTAAGTGTGAATGCCACAATTGCCATGGCCCCTACTGCGTCCTCATTGGTTCCATTCTGAGCACTTCATACTGGAGTCCCATCCGCCCTGCAAGGTACTCAAAGACGGCTAAAGCAGTCCATCGCTGATGATCCTGATCTGCGTATAGCTTTGCGAGCGCGGCACGTGCTAGAATTCAATGGCTAGAGGACATAATCAAACAGCGGCTACCTGACGTCGACATAGCAGGCGGCCCGCAAATAGACGCCTTTCCGGACCCGAAAGGATCGGTGGTCGTCGGAGGTGGAGACCACGATGAGGACAATATCTCGACATCGTCTCCCCGGTCCGGCCGCGGATGTAGTCAACCGGTGCCGGTGGGAGGGACTCCAAGTCTGGGGTCGCAGCGACCAGGCAGTCTCAAGCGTACCGCGGAGGCCGCGGGATCCAACGACCACGACGAAGAGTTCCCGGATCGTGCACACTCGGTCGCCAGGAACTTAGGGATGTTGTCGCTCAACTCGGATTCAGATCAAAAGCACTACTTGGGATCGAGTTCCGGTGTTCTTTTCACTAATCTGATTGGGGCGTCTCCCTCAAGTGCGGGCTCAACACCGGTTGCTTTGATTGATGACGTCCAAGCCCAGGGGCCAGCATCTGAATGGCACGACAGCACCGTATCAAGCAACGTCTCGCAAGAGTATAATCGTGCCTTGCATGTGTGCCTACGACAGGTTCGTACGCAGCTCTTCTCTACTCAGGAGACTGTAGACTTCATTTTTGTTACGATAAAGCTGACGCTCGTCTACGCGCAGGAACTTCCAAGGAAAGAAGATGCCATCAAACTCGTACACACCTACATTCGTTGGATGCATCCCGACTACCCAGTTTTAGAAGCGACATCTCTACTCAGTTCCCTTGATGCTCTGTATGCGACTTTCGAATGCTCGCTGGAGGAAGATCCCTTGCCAAATGGCTGGCCAAGTTCCGTTCAAGCGTTTAGGTGGAATGGACGTCAGATCACCCCGAGCGATCAAGGTGTGCAAGCGGTGCCTATGCCCGTTGTTGCTTTTACCCTCTTCATGGTCTTCAATATCGCAGCTATCATGAAGATCAGATCGCGGATCTACGAGTTTCCTCCCGAAAGGTTCTACCGTGCCGCTCTACATTTCTCCAAGGATTGTTTCTCGCAGATATCTCTGTCGTCGATTCAAGCTTTGGTAACTCTGATAATACACAGCATGTTGACTCCTGCAGAGGTCAACCTTTTCACGCTCATCCATATTGCATTGGCGCATTGCGTAGAACTAGGAATTCATAGGGAACCACCTGCAGCCATCCAGCCAAGTAGTGAATTCGAGAATCAGCAAATTAAGAGGTTGACTTTCTTCACTATATACTCTTTAGACAGGCAAGTTTCGATTGGTGCTTTGGTTATTTTCATGATTTACTGACAACAGTAGATCGATATCATCTATTCAAGGCCGGCCCCTTGGCTTCCGCGACGAAACATTCGATATTATGATGCCTGAACCCCAATCATCACGCACAGGCAATACGAACAGCCTCAACCCGATTCCATCCTCGTTCTTGGAGGCTGTCCTGAAATATGCACGACACCAATTCGAACTTGATAGACTGGTTTCCGACGTCAAACAACAACTTTACCATCTGCCCTGCGACTCCTCCTGGTTTTCGATGCCTCAAAGCCCGACCGACCAACAAGGAAGAATCAAACAAGAGCTCGTGAACTGGTGGCGAAAAGTGTCTGAAGAATCTTTTGATTTCCCAGGTGTTGACCACCGACAGCGTCGCATCTGGAAGCTGAAGCTGAAGATTAAGTATCATACCACGATGGTGATGCTCTATCAGCCTTCGCAGGTCATTCGAAACCCTCCTCCCGAGTCTCTCCAAGTGTGCTTCAACAGTGCTTCGTCCATTCTGCAGGACTATCAAATGTTGCACGACATGCAAGGTCTCCATCATGGATGGCGAACGGTCCAAAACATCTTCGCGGCCGGGGCGACGCTGATCTACTCTTTCTGGACGTGCTCCGTCGTCCGTCAAAGCGCGTCCACAGCCGACCTTTCCAAAAGTCTACGCGCTTGTTCGGGTCTTTTGGCAGTTGGTGGGGAATGGTGGCCGTCCGTCAAAAGGGGACAGAGGAGTTTTGGGGCTATTGTCGACCTCACAGTCCGCAAACTTTACACCGGCAATATGCCATCAAAGAATCCCCGACTCTTCATGCCTCTCAGCTCCGAAGACGGAGAGACTGCGATTGAGAACTCAGAAGGAGCACCTGTATATGACGCAACTGGGCAGCAGTCCGACCTTTCCCACATAGCACTCAACGGCGCTGACGCACCCTGGCACCAGATGGCGGGAGCCTCCATGGAGCTACCGAATGCCCACGACCCGGTACATTGGCAAGGAGTCTATTCCGACCCTACATTCCATTCAACAACGAATGACTATGTTCCGGAGATTGAGACTTTCCTTGCCGATTTTGACAAGTCTGAATTCAGCTGGAGCTTTCCTTTGACTAGCATTAGCGACCCTTACGACATTGCGAACTTCCCGAACCCGGGATATCGATGACGCAGCTAGGCACTCGTCACCGCCGTCTTGGGATTTCCCGAGACTTGGACGGATCCAGGTTGCTTGAATGCGCTATCAGTTGGGCTACGAGACTACGAGAGTAATCCATACGGGTAGCTCCGGGGGTTGGACTCGGATTTGGTGTTAGACGGAGTAGTCCGTCTTTGGATCTTGCTCAGCTCCCGGACTACTCCGTGTATACCCCAACTTTGGAGCTTTAGACGGAGCTACCCAGGCCTTTGGACTGTTCGAACTTGAAGCAGAAGCTGCTACGAATTGTTCATGGCATCGCAATGACCAGCACCGTTTGGAACCGCAGTACGAGTGGAAGGAGAATGAAAAAGATGCCGTGCCCTTGGAGTGTGTCTAGACTGGTGCTGAGGCATAGAATCCGCAGTCATGTCGTTAGCGCTGTTGAAGGCAGCTAGGTCAAAAGGAAGCTCCTCATTCAAACAATCTTCGTACGCAGCATGGAGAAGACATTTTGCAACTCCAGCCGCATCTGTACAAGTTCCGTTAAGTCCTTTGGAGCCGGTAAGTCTTTTGCATAGCTCCTGTCAAAACCAATGCAATGAGTCTGACTATGATCTAGTACAACCCGTTGGATTATGGATCGCGACTCCATGCCCTTCATGACTTGCAAAAGTCCAATAAACGACCCCTGACGCTCTCCGAAAAGATCCTATACAGCCACCTAGTCTCCGGCAAAGATGGGTGGTCGCTCGACGAAATACATCGAGGCAAGACGATACTGCGGCTGCGACCTGATCGAGTAGCATGCCACGATGCCACAGCAACAATGGCTTTGCTTCAGTTCATTAGCGCTGGTCTTCCACGCGTCAGAGTTCCGACATCCGTACACAGCGACCACCTGATCGTTGCCGAGAAAGGTGACAAGGAGGATCTCGCCCGCGCCGCTAGCGACCACGAAGAGGTGTATGCCTTTCTCGGCAGTGCGACGAAGAAATACGGAATCGGGTACTGGAAGCCAGGAGCGGGAATCATACACACAACCATCTTCGAGAACTACGCCTTTCCAGGTGGCCTCATGATTGGCACGGACTCGCACACACCGAATGCCGGAGGAATGGGCATGCTAGGTATCGGTGTCGGTGGGGCTGATGCTGTCGATGCAATGTCTGGTATGCCGTGGGAGCTCGTCTGTCCAAAGGTCTGCGGCGTGCGCCTGACCGGCAAACTCCAGGGATGGAGCTCGTCAAAGGACATAATCTGCAAGCTTGCGGGTATCCTCACTGTTTCTGGAGGTAAAGGCAAAGTCATTGAGTTCTTTGGTCCAGGCACCGAAACGCTGGGAGCTACGGCAATGGCAACCGTCTGCAACATGTCTGCCGAAATTGGATCAACGTCTTGCGTGTTCCCCTACTCTGAAGCCATGTCACGATACCTATCAGCCACAAAGCGGAAGAATATCGCCGACTATGCCGATATTTTCAAACAGCCACTCTTAGTTGGAGACGAGGGTTGCGACCGCTACTACGACGAAATAATCGAGATAGACCTCTCTACCCTTGAGCCTCACATTAATGGCCCCTTCACCCCGGACCTAGCACACCCACTATCTCAATTCAAACGACATGTCAGCGAGAGCTCATGGCCGTCAGACATCTCTTGCAGCCTAGTCGGGAGTTGCACGAATAGCTCGTACGAAGATCTAGAAAAGGTTCGCCATCTCGTCGTTCAAGCCAGGGAAGCTGGACTGGAGAAGACAAAGACTCGGTTCCTGGTTAGCCCAGGAAGTGAGCAAATCCGTGCCACGGCAGAGGAGGAAGGGATTCTCGATACGCTCAGACAAGCTGGAGCAGTTGTTTTGAGTAATTCCTGTGGCCCATGTGTCGGACAATGGGATCGGGAAGACGTCGATGTAAAGAATGCCGAAAAGAACTCGGTTATTTCCAGCTTCAACCGCAACTTCACAGGTCGCCATGACAGCAATCCTGCCACTCATTCTTTTGTCACATCACCTGAGCTCGCCGCAGCATTTGCCTTCGCTGGCAATCTCACGTTCAACCCCATGACTGATGACATCCCCATACCCGGTCCATGTGGTGCTCCCAAGAAGTTCCGTTTCACGCCCCCTCGAGCTGCCGAGCTCCCGGTCGTCTTCTCTCCAGGCACCGACCGTTTTCAACCTCCTGTACTATCGGATACAACGGAATTGAAAGTCAACATCCTCCCTTCCAGCGACAGACTCCAGCTCCTGACACCATTTGACCGATGGCAAGTCGGCAAAGCGTGTGGCATGAACATCCTGATCAAGGTGCGTGGCAAATGTACAACAGATCACATCTCGCCCGCCGGTCCTTGGTACAAGTACCGGGGTCATCTGGAGAACATCAGCAATAACATGCTCCTCGGAGCCACCAACGACTTCTTAGCCGACGCTAGCTCATTGAACATGATTGGTAAAGCCATGGATCCGGTTGATGGCCAAACCAAACCCGTGCCTCAAGCTGCGAGAAGCATGAAGAGCGCCGGCATCAGGTGGTGCATCATCGGAGACGACAATTACGGCGAAGGAAGCTCGCGAGAACATGCTGCGCTGGAGCCGCGATATCTGGGTGGTGTTGCCGTCATTGCCAAGAGCTTTGCTAGAATCCACGAGACGAACTTGAAGAAGCAGGGCATGTTACCGCTTACGTTCAGTGATCCCGCAGACTACGGCAAAATACAGAAAGGGGACCAAATCACGCTCGTAGACGTCGAAGATGCTGATTTGCGGCCCGGAAAGCAGGTGACCATGGAGGTCATCACCCTACAAGGCTCCAGATGGACGGCCAAGTTGAATCACAGTTTCGAAATCAATCAGATTGAATGGTTGCGGGCGGGGAGTGCGCTCAACCACATCAAGCGCGTTGCAGTTCGTGGCGAAGCATGATGATACCTTGTCGGTGTTAGGCACCGAGACCCTAAAGGGGTCATATGATATACTGTCACATTCTGTTCTGCATAGCGTTCTTCTTGATATCATAAAAACCAAAGGAACTTTTACATACTTATGCTCGGACGTGTGCTGTGGTCATCACTATGATAACTCTTGGGTTCTCTACTAATGTCACATTCATGATAAGGTACTATTGACCGAGAGAATATTGTGCGAAGTTTGCAAGTGGAGCAAATCGTGAGTCAATGATGTCCCGCCTCACCACATCCTCAGCATTATGGACTCCGCCATATCCGACGGGATGTTGCACTGGAAAGGAATGGATGTTCACGGTTCTACGTGTCTTATGGCGGGCTTTTTCGCGAACTTCATAATGGCAAATACCAAATCTGCAGTTTCACGGAGTAGTCCGGGAAAATGAGACTGGACTTTCCCATGTGACGGACTGTTCCGCTAAGCCACGGACTATTCCATTACGCAAGAGACTGAAGGGTTGAAACTGTTCCGAGATGACCTTTACCAGCTTTAGCAATGGCTGGAATAGCCCGAGACAGGTACGGAGAAGCCCACTATCAAACGACTTGACTTTTCTGTCTATACTGGCATGGCAGACACCCGAATCTTTCGATTGCGTGGCTGCCTATTGGCTGGATGCTGGCAGGAAGTAGAACAACAGCCTGGGCGTGTAATCCTCATAGCTTCAGGCCGACCATTGTACTGATACTCTACTACCGGGTTAGAACCTGGGGTTAGATTGAGGGTCTGCGGGGTAATTCTGGGGTTTCCGTCTTGCTGCTCGACAATCAGAACAAACAGCTATTGGTGTCTTCCTTTGGGGTGTGTCTGAAAAGTGATGCTGATGTTCGGAAAGACATAACTTAAAACCCCTCGTCACCAAACACCACGCCGCGATATTTCAACTAGTATGCATCCTCTTGTTCTTGCAGTAAGAGGCTTTGGATAAATGTCGCACCTGCAAGTAGTTTCCTTGATCATTTTCATCTTCCCTTTCCTATTCGGATTTTCCGAAATTTTATCATTGGGGATCACAAGCTTCAACACCAACGACAATGGCTATTGGTAAATCCACGGACAAGACTGACACAATGCAAGCCAGCTCCGATCATATCGACGATTTACACGCCTTCCAAGAGCAGGATATTGCCCTTGAGAAAGATGTCACTGATAACAACTTTGGCATGGCAGAGGAGGAATTCATTGCCCACGAGAAGAGTTTGGTGAAGAAACTCGACTATACACTCGTCCCTATGGTCAGTCGTCTGGAAACAGCAGCTTGAGATACAGTACAAAGGTTGACAGCTTCTAGGTCTGGCTCTTGTATCTTTTCAACTATCTTGATCGAAACAACATTGCGTAAGATTCTCTTAACCATCGACTCACACAACATTGGTCAGTCTTTAACAGTAACTGGTAACAGTCAAGCCCGATTGAGCTCATTTGAGAAGGATCTTAATCTGACTGGGAACCAATTCAACGTTGCTGTTTCTATTCTGAACATAGGCTATATGTTGATGCAGCTTCCCAGGTAAGAGAGACGTGCTTGGAATTCTGCCCATCCACGCTGAAGTACTGACATCCACCAAGTAACATGCTCATAACTCGAACACGACCCGGTACATACATCCCTGCCTGTACAGCATTGTGGTCTATCGTCTCAGCTGCCACGGCTGGAGCTGGAAATTACACCCACCTTCTTGTCATACGATTCTTTCTTGGCATTGCGGAAGCCCCGTTCTTCCCCGGAGCCATGTTTCTTCTATCATGCTGGTATCCATGCAAAGAGCTAGCATTGCGCACTGCTGTCTTATACTCTGGAGTCCTCCTAGCCACGGCATTCTCTGGACTTATTGCTGCTGGCGTGCTCTCGGGCCTCGAGGGCGCAAGGGGCATTGCTAGTTGGCAGTGGCTGTTCATCATCGAAGGAGCTGGAAGTTTTACCGCAGCGCTTCTAGGTTTCGTGCTGCTTCCTGACTTCCCTGGACAGAAGTCGGGCGTTGCCAAGTGGTTGCTCACAGATGCTGAGCAAAGAGTGGCAGTTGAGCGTATTCGACGTGATCGGGTTTCTTTGCCAGAGGCAGACTCGAGTGTCTGGAACGGGCTAAAACTTGCCATCAAAGACCCCCTTACTTGGGTATTTGTAAGTCACGCCGGAATTTGCAGAGACAATAGTATGCACAGATATGCCCAACGGTACACTGACACAGCAGCAAAACAGGTGGTAATGCTGACCGCGAATCACTCAGCCTATGGCTTCAACAATTTCTTCCCCACGATCGTCAAGGGCTTCAAGCTTGGTAGCAACACTTTGACCCTCATTCTGACGGCGCCGCCGTACCTTCTTGCCACTGTTGTCGCCTTCACGACAGCTTGGTCTTCCGATCGTCTTAAAGAGCGCGGCTTCCACATTTCCGTGCCACAGGGCGTCGCATGTGTTGGGTTCATAATTTCGGTCTCCACGGTCAACATAGTCGCTCGTTATTTTGCTGCATTCCTTTACATCTGCGGGTGAGTTGAACACATTCTGTGTCCGAGGAAGTCAAATCAAGCTGATACAACGATCCAGATGCTTTTCTTCAAATGCCATGGTCTTCTCATGGGCTAGCTCCACGCTGAACCAAACTCCAGAGAAGAGGGCGTGTGCAACAGCCATCATTAATCTGCTCAGCCAACTAGGCAATGTCTGGAGCCCCTACTTCTTTCCATCGAATGATGGACCTCGATATGTTATGGCCAACTTGCTCATGATGGCTTCATCGGCCTTGAGTATTGTCACCTGCGTAATCATGAAGATTATGCTCACAAGAGCCAACAAAAGCCTCAAGGGAGAAAGTAGAGACACAACACTGTTCACATTGTAGTTGATGATGGCATTTGGCAAAGATCCCGGTGAGATTTTGAGAAATGGACGAGAACATGGGAAAGAAGTCAGATTCGCACCGGTCTTAAATCTTCAAAGCAGCGCGGTAATGATGAAGTTGGTGTTGAACTTTAGCAGGAGTATATGGTCATAAATCCCATTTGCCGACAAAGAACATGCAGCATTATAAGTTCTCATCCAACCAATTCATCGATGGAGTGGGCATCAACAATCAATCCGGTCTGGTAAGTTTCAGCAAGGTTCAAGTTAGAGCACGACCCCACGCTACCAACAGGGGTAGGGAACCTTAAGAAGAGGTGAAGAACTTTATCTCAACACTGCCACACGTTTGGTAACTGCATCAGCAATGCCGAAGAGGATGACCTGGTCTGCTATTCGATGGGAATATGGGTAGATACGCAAGTAAGAGACATCGAAATATCTGTACCCAAGCACTGATTGTCCTGATCTTAACGCTGATTCACTTAATATCATATGTGGAAAGACAATCTTACTATTGGCGCTACGTTTGGAGCACGATACCTCCAGATCTACATGACTATATATGTATCCCCTAAAATAATACGACTCAAGAATACGCAGCTTATACTCCACACAACCAAAGGCATTGATCTATGATAAATCTACTGAATGATATATAATCAAATTGGTGAAGTTGGGGCCGACAGATGCGTGATGTACCGCGGGGAACTTTTTACTCGAAGTCCGTATGACGTCCGTTTGAACCTTAATAACGCTCAACCACTCATGTAAATTCACATTAAATTGACTCATCTCCTGCTTCCGTTCCTCAGTTTACATTCATCTATCTTTCTTTCCAAAGAAATCACGTCATCATGGGAGGAGAAACAAAACCATTTAAAATCGCCATTATTGGGGGAGGCATAGCTGGAATAGTCCTCGCCATTTCACTCTCCAAGCGAAATGTACCCTGCGTCATCTATGAGAAGGCCCCTGCCTATACCGAACTTGGAGTCGGCTTGGGAGTTTCGCCCAATGCTCTCAGGGCAATGGCAACTTGTGATCTGGTGATTCTCGAAGCCCTCGAAAGCGTGGCTGAGCCTCCTTTCCGATGGGAGGTATTTGACGGTACGGATGAAGCAAACGAGGACACCGTTCTTTTCACACTTGGAAATTCTACCACAGGACTTAGGGGTTGTCACCGGGGCCAGTTCTTGACGCACTTACTCAAACATGTTCCCGATGACATGATACATTACAGTAAGGAGCTGGAAAGCATTGAGGAGCCAGAAGAAGCGGGCAGACGGCTTCGAATGATCTTCCGAGACGGATCAACCGCTGAGGCCGATGGAATAATCGGATGCGATGGGATCAAATCGCACACAAGAGGTATCGTCATAGGACACGATCATACAGCTACGAAGTGCACCTATACCCATAAGTATACATACCGCGGTTTGATACCAATGAGCCAAGCCGTAGAGATCCTGGGCCCAGACAAAGCAAGAACCTCCGGGTTGTGGGTGAGTTGTTTTCTTGATCACTCTCAAAACAGTCTATCGTGGAAATGTCACCTAACAATGGATTAGGTCTGCAATGATGCACACATAGTCACCTACCCGGTGGCTCATGGGAAAATGCTGAACTTGGTCGCTCACACCTCAACCACTGAGGGGTGGCCAAGCCAGACCCAATTCACACTTCCTGCTACAGTAGATGACTGCATCAAAGATCTTAAAGCTTTCAGTCCACGAATGCAGAAGGCGATACAGCTTTTGAAAGTTCTGGATAGGGTATGTCTGTGATGAACACACTCCCAGTCCTCATTTATACCTTCATGTATCGAGTTAACAACCTTTTTAGTGGGCTCTGTTCGATCTAGGTGATGACTCGGTCCCTACATTCGCGAAGGGCCGTATATGTCTTCTTGGAGACGCAGCACACGCATCCACCCCGCATCAAGGTGCCGGAGCGGGAATCTGCGTTGAAGACGCCGCGGTAATGGCGTCACTGTTGGCAGACCAAAAGGTACGAAATAGTACAGGGATTGAGGCTGCGTTTGCCGCATTTGATGCCAGCCGCCGGGAAAGAGGTCAATGGCTTATTCGGGAGAGTCGAAGAGCTGGCGAACTGT